AAGGCAGCCCCTGGCTAAAGCTGGGAAATTGTCAGGAAGAAGAAGAAGAAAAGTGTCATCGAAATGTATATTCGTAAATGTTTTGTTACTAGTGTAATTCTCATGTAAGTGATTATAGTGTATAATGAGAATAAATATCTTAAACCTCAAATCGATATTAATAAATTTCTACTCCAATATACATATACATACATACATACATAAGTAAGAAAACAGGAAATTAAATATTAAATTATGTGAAAATAAGGAAAATGTAATCCCTACTAATATTATAAATGCGAAAGTAACTCTGTCTGTCTATCTGTCTGTCTGTCTCTCTGTCTGTTACGCTTTCACGCCTAAACCACTGAACTGATTTTAATGAAATTTGGAACAGAGATAGAGTTAATCTTGAGAAAGAATAAAGGGTAGTTTTTATCCCAGACATTTGAAAGGTTCTTTTGGAAACGCGATATAACCGAACTCCACGCGGGCGAAGCTGCGGGCAGAAAGCTAGTGAAGTATAATTATATATTTTTTTAGTTTTTTATTATTTTATGTTATTTTAAATTTAAAAATTACTTACGTAAAATTAATTTTTACTTCAATGTCCGATATATATAAAATAAGTGTAATGAAATTGGTAAGTTAATATAAAAAATATAACAATTATTGTGTTAATGAGAATTTAGTATAAATATTTTTAAATAATTTTTTGAAATGACTATATACAATTTCATATTTATTCAATTGATTAATTAAATCAAATCATAATTTCCACTTGAAATATTACACGATAAAAAATTACTTTTAGCTTTTTTCGATTGCGTTTTTTTCTTAATTTTTAACTAAATAGCTTCCTTCCTTATCCAACCCTTAGTTATACGTTGATAAATGAAAACAAAGCTGTAGGTGATGAACGAACAATTGCACTTAAAGACTATTCACTATTGCCTTGAAAATATTTAGACTGTAAGTAAAGTACTGGGATATCATCTGCTTATTGCAAGGATGCGGAATCAAATTTATTTAAATTTGTTGCAATATAAGGTGAAGTTAAATATTTATCTACTCTTTAGGTATAGGAATCGTTTTAATTAACTATGTAATTGTTTATTATCTACCGTATTCTTAATAAAATTTTTGACAAATTCAAGTCAAACTTTTAAAAAGTTTAGTTGTTCAAAAACAAGCAAAGAATTAATAGCTTACGATTTATTAGAAGAAAATAACATATCCACTATAAAAAGAATAAGCTATTTACATTAAAAGTAAAGGCGATTTCCATAAAACCATCGTAAAGAGTTCAAAGCTTCGTCCTTGGTTTACGAAGGAAGCTTGAACATAAACAAAAGCGTTAGAAAATAAAAATAAACCGAGACAATACTGTTGTTATATTGATAAAAAAAACTATTTATGTTAAGTTAAAATAAATAATCGACTGTTACGAAGTTATTTTCAAAAAAAATATCAACTACTAAAAAAATAAAATGGCGACTCACATTATTCCCGTACAGATGTTCGCAGTTGAATATTGTCAACAGAAAAACTACAAGAAGCATTAGGCTGCCATCCATCACGACTGCACTTTATAATACAAACATAAAACTAGTTCTCATTTTAACAATAAAACAAATCACAAATAAAAAATGTCGCACATAATTGGCGCCTTTTTTTAAACTAATGCGACCTCATCGTAAACCTTCTTGGTGGTATGTAATGTTCAGCCAACGACAGGCCGCTCTGTTAGGCGGGTAGCGACTGCCGCTTGAAGTGTTAGAACATTAGTGGTAGGGTGGCATTGCGTTGAAATCAACGATTGGGAACGCTAAACTTAAATTGCACTGTTGAAATTGGATTAAAATTTGTGTTTTTGTCCATTGTGTTGAGATTTCTGCGTCTCAGACATCGTGAACGTTCAACCCTAAATAAGCACCACTTGTATTTTCTTTATTATTTTTCATATTGTGTTATTCAAAAGAATGTTTATAAAAGTTATATCATGTGCAAAATGAATAATTACATTCGTAATATATAGTATCTGTATTGTTTTTTTTTTATCTGTACATTATAAAAGTTCCCGATAACAAAAACATGTCAGGATAGTTCCAAGTAATTCTGTGTGTTCTAGTTTTAACATTAGCATACAATGACCTCCATTCAATGAAATTAAGAGAAACAGTGAAAATGTTTCTGCACCAAGAGTTCCGCGATAAATTCACGCCACAACAACAGAACAACAGCTCCATGTAGTCTCTTCTTATACAAACTTTATTAAAATCATCGAATTGATAACTATATTAATTTTATGCCTTTCTATTATGCTATTTTTTAAAAGCATTCCGCTCCACAGCTGCCTCTGTTCCAATATAGAGCTAAGATTGCATCTGTGACACGTTAGAGTCATTGTTATTAAGACCTTTCTCTATGTAGAGATGTACTAAACTCATACAGTATATTGTATTCAAAGAAATAGAGCACATCTATAAAGAGAAAGGGGATTTTTAATCTTGTCCTGTTTTGCCAGCTATTTGGTAAAAAAGATTTCTTATATAAAAATCGTGTTAGGCAAATGGTAAATGTAACTTTAGTTTGGCTAACTTCATGTAATAAATAAAGATTAATCTTTAGTAACAGAACCATAATAAATTTCTTAGTGAACTATAAATATTGCGAAACATGAATGTTTTAATAATATACTAACAAAAACGTAATTATCTTAAAGGTAAAATAAAGGGTACAATAAACGCGAAAATTTCCTCTAATTGTGTGTCTTTCGTAGTGTCGTTCTTTTCTCGTTAATTGACTGAAAAATATATATAAAATTGATTTAAAAAAACGGTCATTATATACTTTATAACTCAAAATAACATTGTCTCAGAAAAAAGCATTGTTATTTGTTAAAATTAATGTCAACTCGCAAATGACACATTAAAAATATAGAATAAAAAAATAAAAATAAATGCAGTGTTTATGCTACGTAAGGCGTGACGATTTACAGTTTGTCTTTTGTCTTTGGTTATTAGGACTTAGGAGTGATAACTGTTGTATAGGTCACTGGAGCATTCACATGTTTCAGATTAATTACATATAGTAAGTAAATATGGTCGAAACTTTAAGGATTTAATACATTTAATGAATTAAATTCTGAACCACAAAGTTAATAATGATATACATAAGATTTTCGCCACTACTCATTTAAATGAAACATGCATTTCGTCTGCCCGTGATCACGGTTGTTGCAAAGGAATCTAAACATCAGGAATGTAGATATAAGAGACGAAACCTCTCATCTTTCAATGTATTCACCGTGCGTGTGCCGGGTCCATCGTTGTAGTGAGAGGAGCTTCAACAGTGCCTGGGACTTGAGATCCAGGTGTAGGTTTAGGGGACACCTATCTAACGCTTTAAACGCATAGTAACCGAAAGACTTGAAATCGTTTAAAGTGTAAATATAAATATTTCTGATATAACTAATTAGTAGTCAATATTATTCTGCAATTCATCTCGTAACTTTCGTCAACATGGTCGTTAGCTGTCGCTTTTACTCGCATTAAGATTTAAGTATTGTAGGACTTTCCAGTATCATCAAAAACTTTCAGTTTTGTATCGCACACGAATATTAATATGGAGTTTTATTATGTACTAGTTACGACCTCTGGTATCGTCTGTATTTAATACACTTATTTAATTTAAATGTATTGATTATATCATGGTATTTAGTTGTCTTTAAAAATTTAAATACTTTTAATATTCGAAGAAATAAAATATTACAATATTTTTAAATATATATTTTCATATATTTATATTAATTGTCGTTTTATATGCTTAAATTAAGAAATTTATTATGCGTTAATAACAACAAAACACTAACGAATATATGGCTAATTACTATTCATGATTCGTGAAGGATAGTCACCAAATAATCGAGTACAGCAGGTTGTATAAGAAAAAATTTATTTTAACTAGTATATTACACAACTGACAGAAAAATTTATTATATATATTTGAATGACCACATTGAACGAATTTATGTATTTTGTAAGTCTGACCTCGATTCTCACTACGCATTGTTAGTCCGTGTTTACGGATGTGCGGAGAAAGTGATTTATTATAACAATTTTGTATACAGTCTGATCTATGAATGAATTTTATTTTACTCATTTTACTATATATGCAGATATATTAAAATTTTATTTAAGATCAAAGCAAATAACCGAAGGTATTATAACTTGTAATTAAACATATCGGAGTAATTGTATAATTAAATAAAGCGCCTGCTCGTTTTTTATAGCAACGTGACTGTCGACGTAAATTGCATTTTGTCCAGGCACTAACGCTTTTGCTTTTTAAGGAAAATAGTAAATATTTAATGCTTGTAAAATAATATGAGTTAATTATTCAGGCTTTTTGACTTGATAATTTTTTTTTTGATATAAGTGTTGCAATTTAAGATCTGATGAGGTATTTATTCCTGCAGGATGCACTGAAACAATAAACTATAGTTAAGAATTTCGCCTGATAATTTGTAATGTATTGGTAAATATATATTTCTGACCTCTATTCCAAGTTTTACACTAACAAGTTAATCACAATACCAGTAGATCCTCAATAGTTTATTCTGAACGATAGATTTTAATGTATAATAACGTTCATTTACTAAATTCATTAATAAATAACAGATTTCAACATATTCAACTATTCTTGAATGGAGTACTAATCGTATTATAAGTCTATACAAGGGTTTTATATCTTAGACATTGTTAAAAGAACCAAGCCATATGAATTAATAAAAATTATGTATCTAAAAACATCAGATTTTGAGCATCGTTTATTGACTAATTAGTACAAAAGCGTCAAAGGACATCATATAAATAGCACTTATACATCTATATTCATGTTTATTATTCCATCAACCCGGTCTTTGTTAAGTCTTTGGAAGTTTATTAATATTTTAACACAATATCAATCAGTCATTCCATCAATCGGCACATCATTATAATGACTAGACTAGAGATAATTTATTGATGGACACTCTTGAAATTAATTCTTCTCTTTTCTTCTCTGATGCACCATGATTTCCCACTCCTGGAAAATAAAAAGATTAATTTCAGTTAAGAGACTGTATTCGCAGTTTAAATTATAAATCATATAATTGAAGTTATGCAACTGATAAGGTTAAAAAACTGTTTTTGAACCATAAGAATATATTTTATTTTGACAAACTTATAATTATTAAAAAAATAAGAGCATTACGATATGCACTTGTTAAAATAAATAAGTGCTTGGAACTATTCTTATTCATAAGTGCTAAACATCTTAAAGAAGTATTTTTAGGAACACTATTATGTCTCTGAAATTATGCTATGCATAAAGATACGTGAGCATGTACTTACATCATGAACTGCTTAAAGGAGTGTATACTACATGAAGACCATGCAGTGGGATGATGGTTAGGATGGTATCTCACTGCCATGATGTGTCTTTGGTCTCTACAGAGATTGTACGGCGGGCCGTCGTGGTTCATCCCAAGACTGAAATATTGATATTTTTATTTTATTTTAGAGGTGTCAAACGAGCAGACGGGCTACTTGATGGAAAGGAGTTACCGTCGTCCATGGACATGCGTTACCGACCCTGGATTGTGGGAGAAGGAGGGGAAAGGATGGGAAAAGAGAAAAGGCAATCGGCTTATGAGCTAAACTATGTTCGAGGAGTAGTTATTTGACCACACCTAGGGTCTAGCTTTAAACAAAACATTTTTAGAGCAAAAAAAAATGGACAATATGTAGATTATTTGTAATATAATAAACATTGTATATATATATATATATCTGTGGATACATTGTTTTATTTATTAAATAGTCATTTGAATGCAAACAAATTCCTTTATTTTTTTTAGCAAGGAGCCAACCTTCTCTTAACAATGAATCTTTTTATAACTTTACTACACAATAACACGAATACCTGTGTCCTATTTCGTGAGCTAACAGAAATCCGATAGTTTTTGGTTCCCATTCCAATAATGCGCAACTTTTTCTTATACTGCACATACCTCTTGTGTATCCGCGTCCTGGAATCAACGTTTTAAATAATGATGTTGCATTCAATTACTTCAAATATTTTGAAAGTAGATAGCTACAATTAGAGAATGAATTATTATTATTTGGATAAAAATTAATTATTTTATTTGTTTAAATCTAGGAATTGGGAAAGACAAAAACATGATCGTGTTTTAGATACATCTGGCAAGGAATGCCTAACTTACCAGAATTAGCTCTCACAGTTTTTCCATTATTAACATGAAATATATCAAGGCCGGTTATTAATACAGAAAGGTAAAGACGTTTCATTGCAACTTTTCTTTTGCTTTGGAAATCGCAATAATTTTTCAGATAGGTCGACGCATTTTCGTCCATTGGGACCATTTGATTGTTCTTTAGGAATTTTGTATCCAGCAGATTGAATTTTATCGACCGATTGAACTTTTTAACGTCGAATAGTTTTCTTGCATCGTTTAGAACATTCTGAACAATTGATTTCAACTTTCCCCTTGATCGTGTCTTGTAATCTTTTGACAACTTCTTTGTCAGAGCCTTGTCTACGTGGAACATAATATTGACGGATATATCGTTAGATGGCTGTGTTAAATATTTTATAGTCGAATTCGTTGATATCTGAAATAAAGTGATATAAGAATGAAATACGTGATTAAGTTCCATCAACATTACTGACATTTTAATTAATTTATTTGTGCCTGCAGTTAAAAAAGCCGCTCATAAAACATGTTGTTCAAAACATATGTCCGAAATAGTCAAGTTCGAAGTTAGGGGTGCATTATGATTCTAAAAATAAACCTGTATGGGAGTGCGAGTTATTTAAAGACTTACATGTGTTTTATTCCTGACCAGAACCATCAGTTATTTTTACTTTTAGAAAGTCATTTATATTGTTAAATGTATGTTACTTTAAATTCAATAAGTCTACGTAGCTATATCCTAATAAATGAATTATGATAACAACAAAACCAATGTTAACATGTTTGATTCGAACGTTTTTTAGGACTTCAATAGTGATTTTAATTTAATTTTTTTATGTTCCTTAGTCACAATTGGTCTCTTTATTTTGAACTTTTTATTTCCTCTAGTATTCATTCGTCACTCGAAATTAATTAAACTTGTAATTAAGATATATATAGTGTGTTGAAAACCCGTATATTAAATTGACAATTTAATGTTTGAAGTGTTTAAACTATAAGTACGCAAATAGTTGAAAAATATTTAAATTTAAAAATTATTTTCTAATAAGGAAAATATATAAAGGAATACATTAATACACATCAAAAACATAACCCTCTTTTCTAATCTCGCTGAGGTCAGTTAAGAATTAAGTTGAATTTAAGATAAGCGTCTATTTATATGTAGTTCTATATAGTATATAATATACTATATGACTGAACATATATGTGCAATATAAACGATGACAATCTTCAGAACTAAACTGTATTAGGATTTAATCATGTTCAATTTATAAATCTTACGTTTAGTTTAACTTCAATTATTAGTAACCTATAGTAGAAATGAGATTGTTCTTTATACTTTTACGTATAAGATAATATTACTCGTGAAAAGATTAATATATTCTTATTGATACCGACAAAATTGATATTTTTTTATTATTGTAAGCAAAAACTATTTGAAGTCCTCACCACAAAAGGAGACGGGTATACATTAACATCGGCATTTGTGTTTAAGTGTGTGTGTGTGTGTGTCTATGGCATCGTTGATCTTAAACAGATTGATCTTTTTAGATGCAGTTTTTACATTTGAAAGATATTTTCATTGTAACAGTTTTTGGTATGTGTAGTTAAAACTGTCCTAGTACAATTAGCTTCTGTTTTTAATGATGTAAAGCATTTCTGGACTATGATTACTCGATTAAGTGCTTCACGCATTCCAGTTTAATCGTTGAATGATAATGTAGCGTTGGTACTTTTTTTATACAAAAGTTTATTATATATGGAGCATCATATTGTAATGTTTGTTTTATTAAATAAATATGAACTATTTTAATTATTAGAAAAAAACTTAATACAAAAATATCGATAGCTTTCAGAACAGAATACGTTGATTTGTGTTCATATGCTGCAGAAGAGGTTAAAATTTATTATGACGTTTATTTCAATATACATAGTTATTACAGATCATTATTCATTCAAATACTGTATATATATATATATATATATATATACAGGGTGACTGGTGAATTACTATCAATATTTAAGGAGAATACTCGGTACATGATTCTCATTCGAATTATGTAAAAAAAATTGGCACTTAATTTTTGACAAAATTTCCGTATAAATAAATAAAGTGTTGACACGTTCCAAGTGTTCCAAGTGTGGACGTATGTGTGAGTGTGTGAGTATGCCTAATCTGTAGGGTGTTCACACGATGCGTAATTAATTACATAACTTTTGGTTAACTTTACTTTGAAGTTTATTAATATTTATGTTATATTAATTTTTATTTTGTCATATATGATCGTCAAATATCACGTCCTCAAGTATCGATAGTAATTCACCAGTCACCCTGTATATATATATGTATATATTGTTATGGTTGAATACCTTTTAGAATTAACGAAATAATGTTAACCGTGCCATTTTCAACAGCTTTATATAGTAAAATGTGGCTAGTGTACGAAATGTAATAAAGGCAAAGAATTGTAATAGCAAGAATATTGATGTATTTCCAAGTTAATCATGGTTTTAATAGCTTGGTCATCACTTGGTTATTAAGAGTTTATAGTCATCCATTATTAATGGTTTTTATTGTCGAATGAAACGCGATTAATATTTTTTTAATATGAGTAAAAACTTGTGACTCTCTGTATTTAGTTCATCATTTGGAACTCATCCTAAGGTTAAATATTTCGTTTAATGAAAAAACATAACAACATAATGTTAATTTTTTTGACCTTCGTCCTTAAAGTCTTTAGAATTTTATTTAAATTGGAATATAATTTTTGATATATTACAATTACTTTAAACAGAAAATTATAAAGATAAAATAGTATAAGATTTCTTGATATTTTTATTATTATAAAATATACTACAAACCTTTGAATATCCATTTTGTATGAGCACACACAAGCACAACAAGTCACAGAGCTTCATAGTTCATACCACCGAACTGTTTGAAAGCTTATACAATACTAAGATGACTTATGGTGAATTTTACCGCGTTACCAAGATTCAACACTTTAACGACATCGATATTTAATTTTTCAATCAAAATAATATATCTCATATAAAAAGTAGATGAATATCAAAAATATTTAATTATTAATGAGTTATATCAAATATAATTTACATAATTTTATAAATAGGTGATATAAATCTTTGAAATTCGTAATTAATTTTACTCTGATAAGCTTTAAGTTGTATTTCAAATGATAACATTTTTAAATTTTTGAAACGAATCGGAAAAACTATTTAATAATAGATAAAATTAACTATGGAAACGTTTTATAAATATATATTGATATAAGTCAATGTCCTCAGATATTTTAATGAGTATAAAATTTCCTATACAATAATTATTATACAAGAACCATTTATATAAAGAATGGACGGTGATGATTTTCTGTATCTATTCAACACAGGCGTAAGATTACATATATTTAATAATGTGTAAAACATCTAAAGTATCTGTAAGAAACAAATACATTTTGTTACCCTGATATATTAGTATTAGACTTGTATGCAATGTTATTGGATTTTCGGCGAAATATTTCATCATTATCAACGACATCCGTAGGCATTCAGCCATCAAACAGTCTAGACCAGTTTCCGCAGTGTGTGATAAGGGAAGATAAGCTCGGGAATTACGCCAGGCTGATTCATGTTTACTTTAGACATTTCGTCTCTTGAAGAATTGGATTGATAAACAAGGAAGTGCTGAACGTATTTAAAGCCTAATAATCTTTATCCATCTGATGCTAGCCAGATTTTGGTCATGTTACCTTGATCGAAGTAAGTCCAAAAACACGGTTATGTGGTCGTCTGATCACTATTTATGTAAAATTGTTGACGTAAAATGTCAAAGTCTAAAAGGCTCATGTTCAATTAGAAAGAAATATCTAAAGTTAATTTCTCAACCATCATCTTTCATTGCTTTTAAGACATATATATTGTTTTAGCCGTAATGTCTCGTTTATTTTAAGCCTATATTCTCTCTTCACACTTATACTTGGTTTCAATATTTCCTTATATGAATAGTTTACAGCAAAAATTTTTCAGGATAATCATTATTCGGTTTAGTAACTATTGTTTTATTGACGTATAAGTATTTTTTTACATAATTTTCCTTCAGTATGGTCACACTGACGTCTTCATGACGTTAATATCAAAGTTTTAAACGTGAATGTTGTGATGAGATGAGATGAAATATTTAAAATAATTTTAACAAAAACTAATTAACTTATTAGTAAAAACCTTAATTCTATTTGCTAATGTAATAAAAAAAAATATATGTATAATAAATATTATAGGTATTATATTTGACTACTAATCAATATTTTTTGGCATTCCTCTTCTACTGTTCTTTATAGTAACTTTTATAGTGTTATAAATTCCTATTATTCCTGTGCTCATCATTCAATAGGCATAAATGTATATGATTTTTTTCTTACTTATATTCTCATTAAACGCGTAGGTATATCTCAAAGCCCTTCTTATATTTTTAAATTCATTAGTTCTTCTTCATAATTTTTCAACAATTCTCATTTATAATATGTATAGGCTATGTATACACAGATCATAAAATCCAAGCGTAGGTAATATTCGCGAATGTATTTGTTTGTAATAGTTCGGACATAACCTCATTTCTATGAGGTCATTGCAACTAGTTTACAGATGTGAATATCTAAACAAAGTTAGATTATCTTACATACAATATATAAAAATAGTATCCACGAGATCTAAATGTATGTTTGAACTGTGCTATATTTATTTATTTGAATATATTTAAAGAATACGGCTTATATTATTCGATTTAACATATCTATGAGTGTAAGTTTAAAGGCAAATGTCTTTCTATTAAGTTCTTTCTACTGTTATGATAAATTTCATTGAAAACATTTCAGATTTCCTTTGTCAATCCCGATAGTCAGACATATAGACACAGACTTATTTACAATATTAAAGGCAATTGGTGGCCATGACAAATCTTTAGCTAGTTCTCGGTTAACAATTTGTTCTTCTAAGAATAAAATCATAGCTATGATGTCACCATTGATCATTTGTCATGAACCAAAAGATAATGGACTGTTAAATGAACATTTTATTGTCTGAAGTATAAAGTATTTTAATGTTTCTATTAAGTTTTTTTTTGGGAATATATTGTCAAAAAGCTGATAATACATTGATGCCCAATGATAAGACTACAAATTGGTATATAAATTGCATTATAACGTAGGCTCACTTATAGTGGGGTTTATTTTGATGATTATTGGAATTTAAGAAGAAAAATTAAAGAATCTTTGATTAAGTCAGAAGCAAAGCAAGAACAAATGATGTTTTCCGTATATAACTCGTATGTAATGTATGTACCTCTCAATGACGTTTATGAGAGGATGGTATCACCACGGTCTAAACAATTCATGATCGAACTGCTATTTTGTCTACTTTGATCATTCTTTCATTTTTCTTTAAATTTTAATAAACCCGATAAGCAAATAGAATCTAATATTTTTATATAATGGCAAACTAGAGATTGTACATTTTTGCTAATCTTATTTCATAAGGTAAACCAATATGGTACCACATATCTGTAAAAGTGTCTCATACGACAAGCTTTTTAATTTTACACAATCGTTCTTATACGATCTAGGGCCCTATAGGCTTAAACAAAATTCTTTTTTAAAGTAATTTGAAAGTTAGCGTAGCTAGAAAATTTGATTAAAGAAATATATGTGAAAATTTAAATAAATAAGAATAGAAGTCTTCTTAACAGTTTTATTTTAAACATATTAAGTACTGGCCATTGTTTAACCAAATATAATGTATCTTATATATACAAACATATTATAGAAATATTGACTTTATAATGAATAATTGATAGTTATTTTAATTACATATATTATTAATATCCAGCGTCTGCGTCGTAACTGCTTTTCCGACTGTTGTATTTATCTTAAACAAAAGAGCGTTATTTTAAATTTCGGTTTAATTATTTTTGCAAGCTGAAACATAAAGGTATCTATTTATTTTAGACAACTCTTATCGTATCTATTTATTTTAGACAACAAAAACTGTCAGAGCTATGACTGAAAATTAATTGAGCATGACATATGTACTTATATACCTCTCAAAAGTATTATTAAATGTTTACTACTTGTTTTTAATAATGTACTTTGCTTTATATTAGGATAGAAAGTCTGATAAATTTAATTATTTTCATCTGAAACCATACCATCGTTTACAGCAGTAAGCTGCAAACTCTTTAGGATCTCTTCAGGGATGGGCGGTGGAGTGGGGAGGTGGTCACCACTTGGATGGAAACCATTCTCATCAGCTGTGTAAGACACGGAGTAGGTCTGTCCATCGTCACCAATGTAGGAGAATGATCCTGTCACCGCGAGCGAACCCTGCTCGGGAACAGAACCCGGGATTACACGACCTGAAAAATGAGAGATAAAGAATCAAACAAAAATTATGCTGGAGGGTAAAATAGCGCAAGAGCTTTATTCAATAAATAAAATATCGGGTTTAAGAACTTTATTTAAAAAGAATTTACATTCACTTAAAAAATAATAATACAATTATAAAAAAAATATAGATGTCATATCTAAGACTTTCGCGAGTATAGCGATTTACTTCGCAATTTCAATTATTTCAACTATTAATATAGATGTCTTTCAATTTGAAGATAAGGAATTTTTATCGTAAGGTACTAAATACTTTTTGTGTAACTTTAAATTTTAATTTAAATAAACGTCATTTATAAATTATTGAACATGTTTACAATATATGTATTATATCCATCGATACTAAAGTTTCCACGTTTGAAGAGAAAACAAAACTTTGAAGGGCGACAAAACCTTTCATGACTTCGACTCACTGTTATTTAATTAAAGGTCAAGTTACATTCAAAACTAGGGAATGCCGTACTTGACTTTAATCATATTTTTTTAAATGGTTGCTTTAAACCATTTAATTTGAAAGAGTTAATTAAGAGATAAATGTATTTTATATCAGAAAACAATAAACTAAAAAATTGCAATAACTAAAAACATAAAAACTAACCATTCTGTTCCGCTTTGATTCCATCGCTTGTTTCATAAGCGTAGTGCCATCCCTGGTCATCTTGTTCATTATCGTATCTTAATATCTGGGCCTGGCTGCTGGCTGATGCTTGAGAGGATCCAGCTGTAGCTTGGTAAGATCCAGCAGGTGCTTGGTATGATGCCACTGGTGCTTGGTATGATCCTGTTGACACTTGGTACGATCCAGCTGATGCTTGGTTTGACCTTGCTGGGGCTTGGTATAATCCTGATGGTGCCTGGTAAGATTCCGGAGATTCTGGACCAATAGGCGTTTGTAAACCCGCATTTGCTCCACCCGATGCAGCGGAATCAGGTGGCAGGTAAACGTTTTCAAGTCGAGCTGCCGTAGCCAATGAGATGGCTGATAATATGATAAACTGAAATACAAGAATTAAATGTCTTAATCATAATCAAATAAAAAGGGAGTCTTTTGATTAGTCATGTAGATGGTTGCCAAAAAAGCCAACTAATTGACCCCGTTTGAAAAGCACTTAAAAACAGTACGTCTTGCACAAAGTCTGATTATAGATATCACGAAATATGCAAATAGAAAGGCCACTAACGTATTTCATGGTTGATTACTCTGATGCGTTCTCAAAGGAAGATGTTAGTCAAATGTGACTCGAGGAGTCATCTGCCATCGTTTTATACATTTGATTGAGGTCCCTTCACGCTGCAATCATATCACAGCCCATGATCTCGTCTGGTTTTGATCTCGTTTTAAATGGGGAGTTAATTTTTGGTCATGACTCTGATAGACCAATTATGGTATGATTGTGAATAAATGTTAGGTTTGATGTTTCACAGAATGCAAGGATTTATGATCTTGTCAATATACAAGAATGTCATTAAGTGTTGGTATTTGTGGATATTTTTATTGCCTTAATTAGTTTATTTAGCACTGTATTGGATAAATGAAAATTTGTGTTTTTCAAATTAAGTTACATATATTTTTTATTGCTTTTAGTGAATTGTTTGTAATAAATTTTGATAGTGATGTAATGATCGGGAAATATTAATATTAACTTATTTTGATATATGTCAAGTAATTGTTGTGTTAGCTTTAATTGGAATACGCCCCATTTATGTCACTAAACACTATGATCGCAAAACTGATTTCATTGACATTTCGGTTTGTTTCTATTAAAATTATTATTAATTTGTTATTTATAATAACCTGGTTTCTATGTTTATGTTCGAAGATTTTAAGATGATTTGTTTTAAAAAATTAAATATATTATTGTAACTAATAAAGATTTCCTTTTACTTCTTGTTTGTTTCATGAGATTATACTAACATGTGTATATAACTAATATTTTGTGTGATTTCTTATAGAATATCCGATATTTATATATGAATTGTAATTAAAATACAATAATTCCGTCTCTGTGATGTTTTTGTTTAAAGTAATCTGTGCGATTTGCAGGCCTACTCTTGATAATTATATGTATTAGTAATGCAACTTATTTTAGATGTAAAAATATGTTTTTAACAAAAGAAAAAATGCTTTAAACGTATTTTGTATTGCAAAAATATTTTTTTTAATAAAAAATGTACTCTTTTGACATACATTTATATTTAAGGCGACATTATTTTTGATTACAACTAATATCGTTTAATGTATTCGGGTAGGTTTGATGTTAAAGAAAAGCATTCTTATTTATATCAAGTAAAATTATGAAATATAATAAACTTGTTTTAAAAAAATGATGAGTACATCTAATTTTAGATCGACTTGCATTTAAAAAAATATATTTCTAATTAATATAATACAGTATTCAAATAGATCTTAATTAGTGTCAGATTGTATGTCGACTAAAACTTACTAATGGTTTTATTTAAATTCTTATAGTAGATAATAAAGACATAAATTTTTATCTGTATTTATAAAAAAAAACTTGTTAGAAATACAAAGAACGTACGTTATTAATGTTTCCTTATAGTTCTTACAGAACCAATTCTTTGTTTAGAAATATCTGGAAAATAAAACTATTACATTTTATTGAAACAACCTTTGAATTTAAATTTTTCAAATTGTTATGTTTGTTTGTTTTAATTCAGGAGAAAGACACTTGTTTAAATGGCCAATATTAGGGAAAGAATTTAATTTTTTCTTTGAATATTCTTGTAATTATTTAATAAGTTATCTACTGATTATTATTTTTTGTGTGTAAATTGACAAAAACATATGAGTATTGATATATTATTATTTTTTTGTTAATTAATTAAACACTCTATTTCTTTATAAGTACTTATATGATCACGGAAAAATCTCTTTGCTCTTATTATATTACACATATTAGAAATTTTGAGTTATTTTTATTATTTTATACAATGTTTTTTTATTATAGATATAAGAAAACTCTTAAATTTTTGGAAGGCAAGCTTGATTTATGACTTTGTTTAGACATCAAATATAATTTTTCATTTAATACGTCATGATAGATTTTAATGTAATATTTGGTTTAAGGCTCTCGCGAAGATTATAAAATGCAATCTTTATAATTATATTTCGAGAGGTCGTTTTCAAATAAAGTTTAAATAAGTTTATTTTAAGAAATAACTGAACATGTTGAATACAGTCATTTGAAATTTTGTTTTATTACCAATCTTCTTTAAGGTGATATTAATTTCTTTAACCTAATTGTTACCTTACATACACGCACACACACCCACATATACATATATATAAATATATTGTTCTGGAAAATTGTTTTTATCCTACCGGTACAATTTATTGTAATAGAAGTTGTATGTTTTCCCTTAAATAAATAAATAGATAAATATACCTACGTATATGTTTATGTACATATATGTTCAATTTTCTTAACCCACTTTAGTAGGTTGTATGTCAGAGGGTCATCACTCACAGAGAAATGTATTGCAACTTTGTAATCAAATTACAACATCGTGATGTACAATTTTGTATGATTCGTATGTAATTCTTTCTATATTAGTATATTGAGTCAAGATTTTTATATTAAATAACATTCATACATACAAATTAAATGTATATAAACATTATAAAATAATTTATTTTCGACGTAAGATTGCTTGATCGTTATCAAACGATGAGTGCATCTGTTCGTATCAAATTAAACAATTAGATGAATGGATTTGGACTGTTGGGAGTTATGAAATATGTAAGTAGCTGCTTCATTAGCAAATCGAGTGGACTTGTTAAGTTGAACCTTGACAGTGTGTGGTACAATATATAAGGGGTTAAAAATAAAAACACATATACATATATATGATGAAATAATGATTTGCATCATGATAAAGTCATTAGGTGACAAATAAAAATGAAACAAAATAATACCATCTCAATACAAATAGCCTATTCTCTGTTCCATTGTCTTGAATAGACTTTAATCTATACATGATGAATAACTATGAAAGAATTGAAAATGAACAGTAACAATTTTTAATACAGTAATTTATAGTATAAAAAATTTATCTTATGTCTTATTACATATAGCAGGGGTCAGCATTTAATTGCGCTATTACATTTTATATGAACACGATCCAAAACGTTTTCACTGATAGTCCGTCATCGGAATTTCTGTTAGAGTTCAGTTTGGAGGTTAAACGTTTTTGATAGAAGAAATTATTATGTTAAATAATTATGAAATGTATTTATATGTGAAGTAAAATAATATTATTAAGAAGCATTATTTCTAATACAGGTAAGCGAATATAGAAAATTTTAAGCTTAAAAAGAAAATAGCCATTCGTCTCTTTTTGTACATATTCATTATCAGGTATCGAAACAGTAATTTAACGCTATTTGAGATGTAATTTAATGTAATTAAAAATGTTTACTTGATTGTTTAATTCGATTTTTATCATAAAGCAACATCGAACCCAATAGCTGAGAAATTGCCAGGTAAAATAGAAAATCGAATCGAATACTTAAATAAAAATCTATATGTTCACTAACATAAGAAATTATACGATATTATACTGACGATTCTAAAAGGTCAAATATCAAGTATGTCTTCTTCTTATTTTGATAGTGACGTAATAATTTTGCCAAACAGTACTTAGATAGTGCACAAAAACGAAAAAATTTTTTGATCCAATCACTCTAACAAGACGAGAGACGAGAGAGCTCTACTTAAAATTGTTTCATAACGGTTTTGTAATGTTCTTTCATTGTCAAATATTTGGATCAACGTACAAGTTTGTGCATCTTTAACTATTAAAATAAGAAATACATATCAGCGCTTTTTAACTCGTTTTATTTCTTTAAATACAAGCTGATAACTTTTTTATATAGAGTCATGTTAGTTCAATACAACAAATGTCTGTAATACAGTTAAAGATAATAACTTTTTTTTATCTTATTTTGTAACTTTTAATATCTATTTTCCATTTAATTAAATCATTATTGTCAAATCATAATCATCGAATTAAATTACGGATTATATTTCTTATCAAGTTATTAAGGTTTTATATTCAGACCGCACTGACAGGCGGTGAAGGATGCATCGGGAGGAAACCTGAACTTATAATTCCATATCATAACATTGAAATCGCCAACCGGCCTTGAGCAAGCGTGGTGATTAATGCTCTAAGCCTCTTCATATGAGAAAGAGGTCTGTTCAGCAGTTGACTCTGATGATGATAAAGACTCAACTTCTGTGACATTTGAATTATTCACAAATTAAAGTGAGTTATATTCTAAAAAATTATCAGTGTCATTTGTATATCCATAATAACTTTATGTTAAATAATATTTAAAGAGACATATATTTTCAATTCCTTTATAGAAAAAACATATTATTAATGCACTGTATGTATAAAAAATAACTTATATATGAACAAATCGTGTGTTTGTGGGGCGTTCTGCACCTATTTTAAAAGTATTTCAGTTGTAAGGTCATACATGTATAGTATTAATTATAAGTAACTTAAGTATATGTTGTGATATGTTATTAGTACACTATTGCCAGCAGTCGTCGCAAACCAAACAGCAGGTTTTAGCTATATCAAACATTATTTTAATGTTTCCTATTATAACTATTACTAGTTTTTGTCTGCGACTTCGTCCGCGTTAATTTCGGTGTTAATAATATATATATGTGTAGATGATCGGGCGAAACAACTTCCTTTTGTATATATAGATTAACAATAATTTTTATTTCAATCATGGATTTAATTTTCAGTAAAAGTTTACACGAAAACGAAAATATAATATAATTTAACCATTCCTTGATATCAATTATTCTTTTGACTTGACTGATGACTTGATGACTTTTATAAACAATAAGAGTTCCTTTGCTTTCAGAAAAATACCAAACATTTGATGGGAATGATAAAACACTTTTAAATGGACTACGGTGCATTGAAATAAAATGCTACCAGGAGTAAGATGTTTAAACCAAGTTTGCATTGTCACACTACATACTGAGTAAACAGTTAAACATTCAATAATCTACGTTAATACTATCATGTACGATGATTGATGAATGATAAACTGTTAACGCTACGTACGTAGTGACGATACAAACTTGGATTAAGTATACAGATAAAGGCTATAAATATTTTGGACTTTGAAGAGTTAAAGCCT